TTGTTTCATACTGTCACTGTCACTGTTTCCCTCTCTGTCGGTGTTTCCGGACCTCATGTCCTCTTGTTGTCTCCCGATCGTGAAAAACAAGGTTTCTTTTCTTCCCCACATCCAGCCCGAGGGGTGGGATTCCGACAGTAGTGGATCCGGCAGTGTTTTTATTTTGTTAGTGCAGGAATGTGCAGAGGGAAAGGGAGAGGAGTAGAGGAGGGGTCGTGTTTGATACAACAGGAACGAAACCGAATGGAGCATTTTGATGGAAATTGAAGTTTTTCTTTCCTCCCCCCAAAATGTTTCTTCTCTTGTTTTTACCGGAATCACCCAAGAACGGACACACGAAGCTGGAGGGTTAGACTCGAGCGCTGTGTCCTGCTGTGATTCTCATAAGCTCGGCGACGATTTCTCCTCATAGCAGGGACCCCCGCCCGACTCGGTGCATCTCTTTCTAGGAACTGTGTAATGATTCTGTGCACCCACTCCCCTTCCTCCCGTAAAGTGAAACTGGAGGGTTTTCCTCGTAAGTCGCAACTCCTTATAGGAATTTGCGGGGAGGAAAAAACCGTACAAATGTGCTGTGTCGCAATGTTCAGGCCATACACGTGTTTGCGCTGCGCGTCCTGCAACAGGCTTTGTTTACGCGCGTTCGCGCCTGCGTGCTCCTGCTTAGCGTTTTTTACGTACTTACAATAATAACAGGAGAGTCTGTAAAGCTGCTTCTGATTAACAGTTTGCACAGTAACGCGACGCGTTTCTCATATGCACTCAAATGTGGTTTTAAGGTGCTTTTACTTTTAGTATTTGTAATTTCAGAAGCTATCACTACAGCCGAGTTAAAATGACTTCAAATTTTACATGTAAAACATGATCGTAAACCTTTACGCAAAGATGCAACACATCATTAACATAAACATGAAAGTAAACTGTCCGGTTTTTGTGCTTATCAGCACTTTTTCCGTTACTTTTTATGCATTTGGCTGAATCCTCTCATCTTGAATGGAGCACTTGTGTCATTTTCTCATTGAATTCAAGTAATAACAGCTCATTCGTGATGTGTTTGATATCATTTTGAATGATTACTGACACAGAGCAAAGTAAAACTAAATATTCTTAATATGCTTTTCATTTTTAAGGAATTATTTAATGCTAATGTTTGAGCCCTGAAACGTTCAAACTTGAACTTGAGACAATACCAAACAGACAAACTTGATGATCTCATTCAGGGAGGAGGAACATGTGCAGCTGGGGGTCACTGCACATGTGCTGGAGAGTTTTATAACTAATGTTGCGTTAAAGGAGGCGGGGCCAACCCTTCAGTTTTTCTTTCTTTCTTTCTTTCTGGTGAATATGCAAGGCTATTTTAAGAATGCATGGTAATGTGCTTTACAGATGCATTTGACGTGGGTGTTTTTCATTTGTTGGATATATTTTGACAAAACGTTACAGCAAAGGCAGTTTTTTTTTTTCAGCAGCCTTAAAACATCAGTGACATATTTTGGCAAGTATGTCATTCATATGTAGTACTGAGCCCAGTTTCCAACTTGGAATTTAACATTTTTAGCCAGTAATGATGCGGCAAAGAAATGTCTCGATGCTTCCTAATCTTTCAAACAGCTGGTTTGAATAGTGCAGTGAAATGAAGCGGTGCTGTCAGGAAGGCATGCGTGAAACTAAAATGTCCTTTGTGTTTAAAGTCACACAGTTGTGAGTTTGGATGAACTCAAACAGGACGTATGATGGCAGTGAAACTGAATGTTTGTCTGGCGCTGAATAAAACAGGATGTCCTATCTGGTCAAAGCTTAGACAAAAGAGTCTCCCTGCAGGTTCATGAGAAGGCCGATGTAAATAATCGTGTGCAAAGTAGAAGTGACAGCAAGTCACAGGCAACTTGAGTAACTGTAATCCTGAGGAAGTGTCGCCGTGCTAGAGGTGCGATGTTTTTGCTGAGGCATTAGGGAGTGACTTCCAGTATTTAACCAGTATCACTGACATCACTGTGTCTCTGTCATGAGACAATCATGGCTTGACGATGCTGTCAGTGAGCGCATCCTCTCCAGACGATGATTCCTCCTGATTCTGG